GGAATGGAACACAAAAAATCTTTCAAAGAAAGCTCTGAAATCAATTTTGCACACGTTTTTATTAACAGAACAGTGTTTTTTCCTTTGTCCGAATCAACTTAAGTGACTTTTTTTTATTTTAATATTTAAATATTAAAAATAAATGAAATTATTAATTTGCACTTAATCTCCGTTTGCTACTTTATTTGTTATCATTTAAGGCTGTAGGTTGCAGGAAATGTCAGTGACAGGTGTTTTTAGTCGCTCTTATCAAGTGCAAGTGTTGGTTCAGGAGAGGAGGGGGATTATTTAAGATACTCTTTGAAGAGGTAGGGTTTCAGGTGTTTTCGGAAGATGGGAAGGGACTCTGCTGTCCTAGCTTCAGGGGGAAGCTCGTTCCACTATTGAGGTGCCAAGACAGAGAAGAGCTTGGGCTGAGCGGGAGCTGCCAAGAGACCAAAGGAGTGCTCGGGTTGGGGTGTAGGATTTGAGCATAGCCTGAAGGTAGGGAGGGGCAGTTCCTCTTGCTGCTCCGTAGGCAAGCACCATGGTCTTGTAGTGGATGCAAGCTTCGACTCGAAGCCAGCTGAGTGTGCGGAGCAGCGGGGTGACATGGGAGAACTTGGGAAGGTTGAAAACCAGGCGGGCTGCAGTGTTCTGGATAAGTTGCAGGGGTTTGATGGCACAAGCGAGGAGCCAAGCCAACAGCGAGTTGCAGTAGTCCAGGCGGGAGATGACAAGTGCCTGGGTTAGGACCTGAGCCGCTTCCTGTGTGAGGTAGGTTCGGACTCTACGGCTGTTGTAGAGCATGAACCTGCAGGAGGGAGTCACTGCTTTGATGTTTGCAGAGAACGACAGGGTGTTGTCTATGGTTTTCTGCGACTAAAAAATATATTTGTCGACAGAAGGTTCCCTGTTCTTTTGACCAATCGATTTAAAAAAGTGTATTGTTCCATATATAGACACACCCCTTTGTGTTTTAATAAAATCAACTATATGCATTGAGCTTGTCTGATGCTTTAAGTTCACTGTTTGATTAAATAAGACAAATGACTCAATAGGAAGCCAGAGACCAAGACAACCAGAAGAAAAAACCTTAACCTGACCCCCCTCCTCCTACTGGCTTTCGCAGATTCTGCCGTTACGCTCCTGAAGTTGCCGGCAATAGGCTACACGAGGAGTCTGCAATCTTTCTCCTGTGGAATGCCAATTTATCTTACCGTTTCTACCGATCTGCATGCCAGTTTTGGTTTTCATATGCACATTTCCGTGGAACAGTTTCATTTTAATTTATAACATCTTAATCTCAAAATCATTGTCAGGTGGTTAATCAAAATTCTATCTAAATTTAAATGAAACAAACCTAAAAAGTAACTTATATTGCCAACTATGTAAAAATAGCCTATAATGTCAATAAATAAAAACATTGCAGCCTGCGGGTAGAATATATCCTGATAACAATAAATATCTTATAAACCACATTGGATGCATGGCCCGTCTGCAACGAATTTGAAACATTGTATCAACTTGGGTCTGGGCCCTCAGAGTTGTCAGCGCCAGTGACCTCGGGACAGACAACTGTAGGCTATTTGCGCAAGGGATAAGAAGTAATCAGGTAGGCCTATTTTATGATGTTTCCACTGGATCAGAGCATTACATTTTTCCCCTAACTATTGTCATTCTCAATGGATGTAAAAACAGACTGTTTGCTGTATTAGTGGTGGTGCGTTAAGCCAATCAGAAATACTATCAAATCCCCAAATGAGCACATTTATATGCCTACATTTGCGAGCAGGCCATGTAGCCTACAGGCCTACCTCTATTCATAATCAGGTGCGCGTCCTTACTCAACATTGACAGGAGTGCTCCAAACGAAAGACAATGACTAAATTGACAAAACTCGTAAATGGAATGAAATAAACCAAAACTTGGTTTCACAAGTGTTAGCATAGGATAGGAAAAAATGAATGTGCACAAATTGGCGGGAGAGTGCGCATTCTGGAGAGAGACGTGCATCTTAGCCACACTGCTTTTCTTCTTGGCCTGTGCCATCCCCGCAGCCTCCGCAATGGATTAGTCTCGGCCTCCGCAATGGATTGATTAATTGAGATGTGCTCAAATAAGACAGGTGTCTCGTGTGCCATAAAAATAATATATACATTTGCTACTGCGACAAAAAAACAATTGACCAGTCGACTAATTAGGGTCAGCCCTACCAGGGTCATGCCAAGGTTCTTTGCACTCGGTGGGCGACACTGGAGTTGTCAACAGTGATGGAGAGGTCTTTGGGCGGGCAGGCCTTCCCCAGGAGGAAGAGCAGCTCCGTCTTGTCGTGGTACCGACATCCAAGCTGAGGTATCTGCCAGGCACGCAGATATGCATGTCGCCACCTGGGTGTCAGAAGGGGGGGGGGGAAGGACAGAAGTAGTTGAGTGTCATTCACATAGCAAATGATAGGAGAGACCATGTGAGGATATGACGGAGCCGAGTGACCTGGTATATAGAGAGAAGAGGAGAGGGCATAGAACCGAGCCCTGGTGGACACCAGTAGTGAGAGTATGTGGTGCAGACACAGATCCTCTCCACGTCACCTGGTAGGAGTGGCCTGCCAGGTAGGATGCAATCCAAGAGTGTGCAGAGCCTGAGACGCCCAGCCCTGAGAGGGTTCACAGTGGATCTGATGGTTCACAGTGTCAAAGGCAGCGGATAGATCTAGGAAGATGAGAACAGAGGAGGGAGTGTCAGCTTTGGCAGTGCGGAAAGCCTCCCTGACACAATGAAGAGCAGTCTCGGTTGAGTGACCCGTCTTGAAGCATGACTGGTTAGGGTCAATAAGATCGTTCTGAGAGAGATAATGAGAGTTGAACAGAGGCAGCGCGCTCAAGTGTCTTGGAAAGAAAAGAAAGAAGGGATAGCATGTCAATAGTTTTTAACGTCAGACGAGTCAAGTGTTGGTTTCTTGAGGAGGGGAGCAACTCAGGCCATTTTGAAGTCAGAGGGGACACAGCCAGTGGTCAGGGATGAGTCGATGAGGGAAGTGAGGAATGGGTGAAGGTCTCCAGAGATGGTCTGGAGAAGGGAGGAGGGGATGACGTTGAGCGGGCACGTTGTGGGGTGGCCAGACATCACTAATCGCAGGATTTCATCTTCAGAGAGGGGAGAAAGATGTCAAGGCGTAGGGTAGTTCTGTGTGAGTGGGACCAGTGGACTCAATAGGCTGAGTGAATGAGGAGCAGATGTCGTCAACCTTCTTTTCAAAGTGGTTGACAAAGCCGTTCGCAGGAGGGAGGGCTGGAGGATTTAGGAGGGAGGAGAAGGTGGAAAAGAGTTTCCTAGGGTTAGAAGCAGAAGCTTGAAATTTAGAGTGATAGAAAGTGTCTTTAGCAGCGGATACAGAGGAAGAGAAGGTAGAGGAGGGAGTGAAAGAATGATCAGTCCCCCGGAAGTTTAGTTTTCCTCCATTTTCGCTCAGCTGCCCGCAGCCTGTTCTGTAAGCTTGCAATGAGTCACTCAGCCACAGAGCAGGCGGGGAAGGCCGAGCCGGCCGGGAGGAAAGGGGACAATGTGAGTCATAGGATGCGGAAAGGGAGGAGAGTAGGGTCGAAGAGGCAGAATCAGGAGAGGTGACCGACTGAGGGAGAAGGATTTAGCAGAAGGGAGAGATGATAGGATAGAAGAGGAGAGAGCAGTGGGAGCGAGAGAGAGCGAAGATTGTGACGATTCATCACTATCTGGGTAAGGGCTGAATGGCTAGGGTTGGAGGAAAGGGAGACAAAAGGAAACAAAGTGATCAGAGACCTGGAGGGGGGGTTGCAGTGAGATTAGTAGGCGAACAGCCTCTAGTAAACATGAGGTCAAGCGTATTGCCTGCCTTGTGAGTTGGAGGGGATTGGGAAAGGGTGAGGTCAAAAGAGGAAAGGAGGGGAAAGAGAGAGTTGAAAAGAAATGAATCGAAGACAGACGTAGGGTACGAAGAGCGGTTAGCCATCGTCAAGAAATTAGCTTATCAAGGCGTCAAGCTCATTGAGGAACTCTCCAAGGGCACCTGTGGGCGATAGATGACAATGTTTAGAGTGGAGAAGTGACAGCATTGAATTCAAATGAGATGGACAGGTGAGAGAGTGAGATAAGAGAAAATGAGTAGCCTTGTGCCATCACTGCGCCGACCAGATGCTCTTGGACTATGAGAGAAAATGTAGTCAAATGAAGAGAGCAGCTGGAGTAGCAGTGTTCTCTGGGGTGATCCAGGTCTCCATCAGGGCCAAAAAGTCAAGGGACAATGGCAGCATAGGCTGAGATGAACTCAGCGTTCTTGACCGCAGATCGGCAGTTCCAAACGCTGCCAGAGACATGGAAATCCAAGTGAGTTGTGCGCTTGGGTACACTAAATTAGAAGGGTTGCAGCCAAGGCGTGGGGAGCGTCTATAAAGCCTGCAAGGAGAGGAGTGAACAGGTATAGAAAACACACACAGTTGCCAAAGCTGCAAAAGAGCTCAATTAGATCAGAAAATAACTAGGTAAGATACTCAAGTGAGAGAGGGGTGTGGAGCCTTCCTCAAATAACTTCACAGAACAGTCTTACTTTTGTCGCCACGACCGCCGCTGAGAAACCAGGGGAGACTGAAGTACTAACACTAATTGCTTAGCAGAGGTGAAGAGCTTATTGCTGATTGCCTAGGAGAGGAGAAACCACTCCCCCTCCTAAACAGCCACTGATTCCCAAAACAAATCACAAATTGCCCTGCCCCTTAATCCTGGTTGATGTGTCAACAATCATCTGCAAGTTATGAGCAGTCAGCAGTTCACACACCAAGTAGGCCACTGGGAAGACAGGTAGCACTTAAAGTAGAGGTCCCTAGCTAGCAAAAAGACAGTACTTATCACTCATCAGGGGTCCTCTAGCTATAGAATGGTTCAAAAACGCACTGCCCCCCTCCAGGCCTCCACCTCGTTAGACTCATCAGCACCACCTTGTTGAAGAATCTTGGGGCAGAACTCTGGTGAGTGTTTGCTACTCACTAGGCGGCGGAGTCGTTGAGCTGGTACTCTCGTGACCGGCTGAAGCAGGTCTGGACCCCCCCGTCCTTCCAGAGGCGCTGGATGACTCCGGCTAGCTCGCCGGTCATGAAGCCCTCCTCTGCCGATCCCGCCAGCACAAACAGCTGACGAGCATCATCCTGGTGGGGGACATGAGACACAACCAACGGTTAGGAGGCAGAAGCAGTAAGGTAGGGTTTATTCTAACATTCTCCCGATTGTTTTAAACCTAAGATGCCTTGGCTGGGTGAAGTTTGGGCTATTCAACTATATTTTTACAGGGGCTACATTTGAAAATGGTTTTTAACTGGTTTTTAACACAGACATTTTCTACATGGGATTACGCTTCCTAAAACCGATATATAAAACAATGCAAAAACAATTATAATCTTATGAAGCACTTTTATTCAAATTAAATGTTGCTAAAAGTTCATTTTAAGTCCTTTATGATTAGCCTAATTCAGTGCATCAAATTGTTTAAATAATGGAACACATTTGTACTTAGACACTTGACCTGCATCACATCACATGTCCGTTTTACACAGCTTCATCTTTTGTTTATATTTACACACAGGAAACCTTTTACGCATGACATCTCAGTTGACCAGCATCATATTCTGTTATTTTTTTATATTTCTTTATAAGTTCATAATTTTCTGTCTTGTTAAGTAGTTTTTTTTACACATAAACCTTTCATGCTTTTCATATCTCAGCTGACCAGCTTTTGCAGAGAAGTCTCTCTCCCCCCACATCAGTAGAGAACGGGTCCCTATAACAAACTGAACCACCTCTGTGGGGACCCCAATTTTTAAGTCGCTCTGGATAAGAGCGTCTGCTAAATGACGTAAATGTAAAACTTAAACTGAAAGCTATCTTTGCAACGAGATTTGATGAGTTTATCTAAAAACGTCAATATCACGGGAGTGATCTGTACTGATGATGACAATATAAACTCGGCAAAAAAAGAAACGTCCCTTTTTCAGGACCGTCTTTCAAAGATAATCCGTAAAAATCCAAATAACTTCACAGATCTTCATTGTAAAGGGATTAAACACTGTTTCCCATGCTTGTTCAATCAACCATAAACTATTCAATGAACATGCACCTATAGAACGGTCGTTAAGACACTAACAGCTTACAGACGGTAGGCAATTAAGGTCACAGTTATGAAAATTTAGGACACTAGAGGCCTTTTCTACTGACTCTGAAAAACACCAAAAGAAAGATGTCCAGGGTCCCTGCTCATCTGCGTGAACGTGCCTTAGGTATGCTGCAAGGAGGCATGAGGACTGCAGATGTGGCCAGGGCAATAAATTGCAATGTCCGTACTGTGAGACGCCTAAGACAGCGCTACAGGGAGACAGGACGGACAGCTGATCGTCCTCGCAGTGGCAGACCACGTGTAACAACACCTGCACAGGATCGGTACATCCGAACATCACACCTGCGGGACAGGTACAGGATGGCAACAACAACTGCCCGAGTTACACCAGGAACGCACAATCCCTCCATCAGTGCGCAGGACTGTCCGCAATAGGCTGAGAGAGGCTGGACTGAGGCCTTGTAGGCCTGTTGTAAGGCAGGTCCTCACCAGACATCACTGGCAACAACGTCGCCTATGGGCACAAACCCACCATCGCTGGACCAGACAGGACTGGCAAAAAGTGCTCTTCACTGACGAGTCGCGGTTTTGTCTCACCAGGGGTGATGGTCGGATTCGCGTTTATCGTCGAAGGAATGAGCGTTACACCGAGGCCTGTACTCTGGAGCGGGATCGATTTGGAGGTGGAGGGTCCGTCATGGTCTGGGGCGGTGTGTCACAGCATCATCGGACTGAGCTTGTTGTCATTGCAGGCAATCTCAACGCTGTGCGTTACAGGGAAGACATCCTCCTCCCTCATGTGGTACCCTTCCTGCGGGCTCATCCTAACATGACCCTCCAGCATGACAATGCCTCCAGCCATACTGCTCGTTCTGTGCGTGATTTCCTGCAAGACAGGAATGTCAGTGTTCTGCCATGGCCAATCACATTGAGCACGTCTGGGACCTGTTGGATCGGTGGGTGAGGGCTAGGTCCAATCCCCCAGAAATGTCCGGGAACTTGCAGGTGCCTTGGCGGAAGAGTGGGGTAACATCTCACAGCAAGAACTGGCAAATCTGGTGCAGTCCATGAGGAGGAGATGCACTGCAGTACTTAATACAGCTGGTGGCCACACCAGATACTGACTGTTACTTTTGATTTTGACCATCCCCTTGTTCAGGGACACATTATTCAATTTCTATTAGTCACATGTCTGTGGAACTTGTTCAGTTTATGTCTCAGTTGTTGAATCTTGTCATGTTCATACAAATATTTACATATGTTAAGTTTGCTGAAAATAAACGCAGTTGACAGTCAGAGGACGTTTCTTTTTTTGCTGAGTTTAGTTGTAGGGAAATGGAGCATTTTGTTTGAGCTCAAATCATGTCAATAACCGTTTTATCCCTCCCCTGTAGTCCCAAATGAAGTCCATTCAATTGATTGAAGATGTCACAAAAAAATAGAAAAGCATATCCTCCCTATGCTCACATAGGCTGCTCTCGAAAGCATTATTACTCTTGCTTAGTCACCGAACATTTATGTAAAAGTAGATTATGGTGCTCAGCAGACTACGAAACAAGCAATGTTGAAGGCTAGATGTTGATCGAATAAAGTTTATGATAGCCATAACTGAGTCCATGGTGTTTTTTAACTCACCGCTCAGTTAAGCGTAAAGCACGCTCTGGTGTATCAGGCTGTGAAAGAGCCAATAGGCGGGCAGACAGACCCTGTACCCGTTAGCAGTTCTTATTTGCTGTAACTGGTATGTTGTGTGATACTGATTGAGAGCACTTAATGGGCGGGACTACAGGAATACATTTTTTTGTAGTTTCTTTATTATTAATGTTCAGAATTGATCAAAGGGTCATTCTAAATTGATAAATGGGTGGGATCTGGCTCGCAAGCCGCCAGTTGAATAGCCCTGCCCACTCATTCACTTCTTCCATCAATGAGATAGCATCACTTCTTTTTATCTTTTTTAGGTAGGGCCTAGGGGTTGCGCTGGGACTGTTTTTGAGCTGGGGCACCATTATAACCACCATCAACCCTACCCGTGCCTCTTACAGCCGAACCCTACCCCCTGCCCTCACCAACTCTTAACTAGGACCGGAACGATACCAGTATCGCGATACTTGCTAGTATCATGGCAAGGAAACAAAACACGAAGCGGATTTAACTTCTTTAGGAAAACAGCCCTAATGTTGGAAACAAACATTATGTTATCATCCAGAGTCACATTCATTTATTTTCCAAGCTATAGCACACCATTTTACACACAGCAGGTTTTTAAAGGACCAAAGAGTTGGTCTGCTTCATGTTTTCATTTTTGCCATGGGAAAAATATTGCGATACTGGTATCATCCTGGCCCTAATCCTAACCTCAACTATAAGGAGTTAAAAGCACCAAACTGCTCTTGGATCAATGTCTAGAGCTCCCAGTGTCCTACTCCACTTACAGCTCTGGCTGCATCGGAGAAGTCGATCTTGAGGCGCCCCATGGCTCTGATGATGGCGATTATGGACTGGATGGTGTTGCTGTACACCACCGCTTTGTACTGCTTACACTCTTCCTCTGAATAGCCTGCCTCATGGATGATCCTGGGAGAGGGGAAGGAGGGAGAAAGAGAGGTAAATTGAAAAGTAGGGATACAGAGAGGGAGGAGTAGGATAGCAGGAGAGAGAGAAAGCGTAAGTAATCAAACAAGGCATATTGCCTGTTATTTAAAATGTGGTATGGAACGACATTGGATAGATTGATACATAGGAAGTAACATGATCATTTAAACTATCCTCCCGAGTGGCGCACTGGTCTAAGGCACTGCATCGCAGTGCTAGCTGTGCCACTAGAGATCCTGGTTAGAATCCAGGCTCTGTCGTAGCCGGCCGCGACCGGGAGACCCATGGGGCGGCGCACAATTGGCCCAGCGTCGTCCAGGGTAGGGGAGTGAATGGCCGGCAGGGATGTAGCTCAGTTGGTAGATCATGGTGTTTGCAACGCCAGGGTTGTGGGTTCGATTCCCACAGGGGGCCAGTATGAAAAATTTAATAATGTATGCACTCACTAACTGTAAGTCACTCTGGATAAGAGCGTCTGCTAAATGACTTAAATGTAAAGTAAAAGCTTCCGTAAACCATTTACAGTGAGCTCCAAAAGTATTGGGACAGTGAATTTTGTTGTTGTTTTGGCTCTGTACTCTAGCACCTTGGATTTGAAAATTATACAATGACTATGAGGTTATTAAGGTGCAGACTGTCAGCTTTAATTTAAGGGTATTTTTATCCATATCGGGTGAACTTTTTAGAAATGACAGCACTTTTTGTACATAGTCTCCCCATTTTAGGGGACCAAAAGTATTGGGACATTCACTTGTGTATTAAAGAAGTCAAAAGTTTAGTATTTGGTCCCATATTCATAGCACGCAATGATTATATCAAGCTTATGAGTCTACAAACTTGCTGGATGCATTTGCTGTTGGTTTTCAGATTATTTTGTGCCCAATAGAAATTAATGGTACATAGTGTGTCAGTTTGGAGTCACTTTTATTGTAAATAAGAATACGTTTCTAAACACTTCTACATTAATGTGGATGCTACCATGATAACGGATCATCCTGAATGAATCTTGAATAATGATGAGTGAGAAAGTTAGACACACATATCATACCCCAAAGACATGCTAACATCTCACCATTACAATAACAGTGGAGGTTAGCATTTTTGGAGGGTATGATATTTGTGCGTCTAACTTTCTCACTCATTATTCATGATTCATTCAGGATTATCTGTAATCATGGTAGCATGAATGTAGAAGTGTTTGGAAACATATTATATTCTTATTTACAATAAAAGTGACTACAAAATGACAATATATGATGTGTCAATGTCCCAATACTTTGAGTACATAACGAGAAACTTACTTCATCTGTTTGACAATTGTACTCTTCCCTGACTCCCCAGCACCTGAGAGAGAGAGAGAGCGGGAAAGAGAAGGGAAGAGGCCAATTAGTGAGTGATATGCAGACATTACACATTCAACACATTACACATTTATTCATGGCTGTTTTGACTTGAGCTATTGGGCTGGATCCTAACTTGTGATCCAGACATGTAGGCCTAACTCACGTTTTGCACAAGGCCCTATGAGAGTTACCTGTCCAGATACTGAGTAGCTAATAGCTATACAACGTTGGGAAACCAAGTGTCTGATCTGCTCGAACAGGAGAGTTAGCCAGGCATTAGTTTAAATTGGATGAATCAACTGAATCCTCCCACCAATGAGATTATAGCTCCGGCGTTGCAGAGACCTTAACTGCTTTCACATAGGATTTACGGTATTTTGCCTGTAAAAATTGTTTATGACCCCCTTACAAACTGGCTCAGTTTTACCACATTCTCGCCTGCATATGCCTTTTATATCTCCTGTGCGCAGGCCGGTGATGAGTGGTAGTAGTGGTGTGCAGATGTGGGTGGGCATCTATTTTAATAAATCCAGTGAATATTCACCATAAAAAAGAAATCCATTACTAATTTGTTTAGGCAGGTCCTAAAACATTATAAGACTAATAACATTTATTTTCAAAACAATAGAATGGCATTTTGAGTTGAATTATTTTATGTCCAAATTAATTAAATAAATAGTTCATTAAAAAGAGACAAGACACACATACCCCGATCACAGTAAACACACATATTTTGTAGTAAGAATATAATGGAATATAACAGAATAACATACAAATAATATTTGTGTGTCACAGGAACATGTGGAACTGCTGTCATATAAAAAAAATATATATTTGGAAACAGAGCTCAAGCTCATGCTTTTTTGAACCACATTTCCTCTCTTCCCTACCCTCACTCCACTTTGTAAGGGAGCAGGCATAGGGTCTTACATTGAGAATATCTTCATCATGATACTGCTAGAAAATAATAGCAATCATATTTTCAAAAGCATGTGAGTCTCATGTACAACCTCTGCAGGCTTTTGGAGTTGCCTATAAGCGATCGAGCAAAATAATAGGCCTACACTTAATTTGGGCTACATTATTGGATGCTAAATGTTTCTGATTAGTGACCGATTATTATAATAATTTTTTAATTGTACCTTTATTTAACTAGGCAAGTCAGTTAAGAACAAATTCTTATTTACAATGACCGCCTGGCAAAAGGCCTCCTGTGGGGATGTGGGATTTAAAAAAAATATATAGGACAAAACACACATCACGACAAGAGACAACACTACATAAAGAGAGACCTAAGACAACAAAACTGCATGGCAGCAACACATGACAACACAGCATGGTTGCAGCACAACATGACAACATGGCAGCAGCACAACATGGTAGAAGCACAAAACATGGTACAAACATTATTGGGCACAGACAACAGCACAAATGGCAAGAAGGTAAAGACAACAATACATCACGCGAAGCAGCCACAACTGTCAGTAAGAGTGTCCATGATTGAGTCTTTGAATGAAGAGATGGAGATAACTGTCCAGTTTGAGTGTTTTTTGCAACTCGTTCCAGTCGCTAGCTGCAGCGAACTGAAAAGAGGAGCGACCCAGGGATGTGTGCGCTTTGGGAACCTTTAACAGAATGTGACTGGCAGAACGGGTGTTGTATGTGGAGGATGAGGGCTGCAGTAGGTATCTCAGATAGGGGGGAGTGAGGCCTAAGAGGATTTTATAAATAAGCTTCAACCAGTGGGTCTTGCGACAGGTATACAGAGATGACTAGTTTACAGAGGAGTATAGAGTGCAGTGATGTGTCCTATAAGGAGCATTGGTGGCAAATCTGATGGCCGAATGGTAAAGAACATCTAGCCGCTAGAGAGCACCCTTACCTGCATGGGTAGGATGGTCATCTGAATCAGGGTTAGTTTGGCAGCTGGTGTGAAAGAAGGAGCGATTACGATAGAGGAAACCAAGTCTAGATTTAACCTTAGCCTGCAGCTTTGATATGTGCTGAGAGAAGGACATTGTACCGTCTAGCCATACTCCCAAGTACTTGTATGAGGTGACTACCTCAAGCTCTAAACCCTCAGGAGGTAGTAATCACACCGGTGGGGAGAGGGGCATTCTTCTTGCCAAACCACATTACCTTTGTTTTGGAGGTGTTCAGAACAAGGTTAAGGGCAGAGAAAGCTTGTTGGACACTAAGAAAGCTTTGTTGTAGAGCGTTTAACACAAAATCCAGGGAGGGGCCAGCTGAGCATAAGACTATCATCTGCATATAAATGGATGAGAGAGCTTCCTACTGCCGGAGCTGTGTTGTTGATGTAAATTGAGAAGAGCGTGGGGCCTAATATCGAGCCTTGGGGTACTCCCTTGGTGACAGGCAGTGGCTGAGACAGCAGATGTTCTGACTTTACACACTGCACTCAGAGAGGTAGTTAGCAAACCAGGCCAAAGACACCAATACTCCTTAGCCGGCCCACAAGAATGGAATGGTCTACAGTATCAAAAGCTTTGGCCAAGTCAATAAAAATAGCAGCACAACATTGCTTAGAATCAAGGGCAATGGTGACATCATTTAGGACCTTTAAGGTTGCAGTGACACATCCATAACCTGAGCAGAAACCAGATTGCAAACTAGAGAGAATACTATAGACATCAAGAAAGCCAGTCAGTTGATTATTGACAAGTTTTTCCCAACACTTTTGATAAACAGGGCAAAATAGAAATTGGCCTATAACAGTTAAGATCAGCTTGATCTCCCCCTTTAAATAAAGGACGCACCGTGGCTACCTTCCAAGCAATGGGAACCTCCCCAGAGAGGAGAGACAGGCTTGGCGATGATAGGGGCAGCAACCTTAAAGAAGAAAGGGTCTAAACTATCTGACCCAGATGATTTTTTGGGGTCAAGTTTAAGGAGCTCCTTTAGCACCTTGGACTCAGTGACCGCCTGCAGGGAGAAACTTTGTAAAGGGGCATGGGAATAAGAGGGAGGAGCATCGGGGCTAGTCGCATTAGAAGGGGTGGGAGATGAGGAAATGTTGGACAGGCAAGGAGGCATGGCTGAGTCAAATAGGAATCCTGACTTAATGAAGTGGTGATTAAAGAGCTCAGCCATGTGCTCCTTGTCAGTAACAACCACATCATCAACATTAAGGGACATGGGCAGCTGTGAGGAGGGTTTATTATCCAGGTCTTTAACCGTTTTCCAGAACTTCTTGGGGTTAGACCCACAGAGAGAGAACTGCTCCTTAAAATAACTAACTGTGGCCTTCCAGATAGCCTGAGTGCACTTATTTCTCATTTGCCTGAACGAGAGCCTGTCAGCCTGAGTATGCGTGTGCCAAGCCTTTTGCCAAATGGAATTCTTGAGGTGGAGTAACTCTGCCAGATCACTGTCGAACCAGGGGCTGAACCTGCTTTTAATTCTCATTTTCTTTATGGGAGCGCGTTTATTAACAATACCACTAAAAATATCAAAAAATAAGGTCCAAGCGTCTTCGACAGAGGGGATCAAGTTGATTCTATACCAATTTACAGAGGCCAGGTCATGAAGGAAGGCTTGCTCATTAAAGTTTTTTTAGCAAGCGTCTATGACAAATCAGGACAGGTCGTTTCACTGAGCAGCCATTACGAACACAGACT